AAGTGAGGTCTTAATCCTACTATGACACATTGGTTTTATAAAAGTGTAATTAGACTAATTCTAGCTTATGCTTCAATAATCTGGTTGACTTTTTTGGACAAAAAGTGTAATATCAAACTGCAACAGGGAATTCAGTGGTGTATAAGCTCAAAGTCAAGCAAGGCTCTAAAAACATTGCTAGATATTCATTGAAACATATTTAAGATATGAGGCGGCACTTACAACCGAATGGCTCATAACTTTAGGTGAATTAGCCAAAAGCGGTTATAGGACACGTTATCAATGTATGGATTGCAAGGCTATAAAGAATCATTGAACGTGCCTGATCGCATACCAGACACAGAATATGTCGGAAACTTTGAAACACTGAGCCCAGATAGAAAGTCTTGATCAAGCGAAACGTTTCTCACGAATATTGATTGGAAAATTCTTAGATATTACGGAAAGGAAACTGAGTTTCAGAACATTGAAATAAAATACATTTAGTGGACGTGTTGTTTTTACCAACAAATCTTTCTCTTCCATGAAAAGCAGCACACAACACTCGATAGTGGCCTGTTTCTAATACATTAATAAATAGTACGATTTTCTTATATAAAACAGTTTGTAAAAACGTCTGCAAAACAGGTAGTTAAACATCGTATATATCATTATAAAGATCTCAGCTTTTAAATCCGTTGAGAAATCTAAAACAGGTTGAGGGGATTTAACTAAGTTACTTATTTATAAGTGCATTAATGTACAAAAGCCTTTTTTTACCCGTATCTTAAGATTTTGAAGGTGTTTGGTAAAATTTTATTTATATTTTATTAAATTATTTGAATAAAAACTTTTATTTGTTATTCGTTCGAATAATCGAATAATTTTTAAACTTTAATCGACTGCTCGAATGATAAAATATTGTAAATTTTTATTCGAATAATTTTAAACACGAATAATTGACAACCCTAACGCTTTTAGTTTTTTTTTTCCAATGGTCATAATACGTATACGTATTAATTATTAATATAAAATATTCATACGTCTGGTGGTTTACTACAGGTTTCTTCATGACACATGAACTTATTTTATATGTATTTTGTTATAATGTAAAGTTCTGTCAATAAAACTATCAATATCAATTTTTTGCGGAGGAGGGGGTGGTTGTATAGGAAGAGAATTTTCCATAAAAATATCAATTGAATTTTTAAATTATATGCATTATATAATAATAAAAAAAAACATGATTTGATGACATAGTTGGCTTTCAGTTGATCCATTATTATCATCCAGCAGTACCCGTCAAATATTATTGGACTGAATTTACCCCGATAACGTCTTTCCTTCCTACAATTTTCGTACACATTTTCGAAAAATGTATAATAATGCTTCCACTAGTAAATTGAATATGGGGAGCAAAATTGGAAACCCTAAAGAAAGAAAACTAAAGAAACTGTAAAGTCAAGCAGTCCAATTATATACACTTATTTTGTAAAAAAATTTTAGTTCAAAAATAGATACAACATTCATATAAAAATTTACATTTTTATAGAAAAACTTTTGTACAAAATAATATAAAACCTACACTTTTAGCAATATTCCCATTCATCGCAGAACTTAAGCTATATATGTATGTATATTTATTCAACTGTAACACTACCCAAAAATCTAGCAGGCAACAAACCATTCAAACAACATTCCATCTTCCCAAGCAACCATATTCATAGTATTTGATAAGTACATATTTATCATGCTTGGTGAAACATATATTATACACACAGAAAACAGTTCATTCGGAAATCGGTTGGTTATATAAATATTCCATAACGAAAACTGTAATTTGATTATTAATCCAAAAAATCTATAAATTCAACTGATTTTCAATCACATAAATTACAAAACCATTGTTTTAATCTATTTAAGGTTACAGCCATTTTGTATTTGGTTAGGTAAACCGATGAGTACCTTTGTGAGAACTAATATATTTATTTGGATAACACAACTAAATTATATAAAATGTTGTTGCCCTCAATTACAAATATTGGTTGCTGTAATCGTAAAATTATTTATACTAACATATTTTAAGCCAAAAGTATCTATTTAGTTTCTGTAACTGAATATTTTATTACAAAATATGAATAGATTCTATCAAAATATAAGTAAATTCGGTATACTCAATCGAATGAAATAAAAAATGGTTATTGTTTTTCTGACGTTTATAAAATAAATTAAAATTACTTAAACGAAAAATAGAAAACACAAAAAATTACATGTGAGTTGGAACTATATAAACGTCCACGGATTTACGATAAAACGGGTAGGTGCAACTAGATATCTGCCTATACATTTGTATATACAGATGATCATCAAAAGTATGTGCATAAATATGTATGCATGTACTCACATAAAGATGTATGTATGTATATTTCGCAAATTTTCTCTTTTTCCAAACTGTTTTCTAAGGATGTTTTTCATTTATTTACATGTTTTTAATCGATCGAGCTCAATTTGATGAACAAGTTAGCAGACAAGATACCCACAAATATCAAGATTCCATCAATTGCAGTTGGAAGATCCCTAATAAATTCATTATATTCATTAGTGCGTAATGGCCTCAAAAAGCCAAGAATACCGAGGGTTCCAGTTCCGGTAAAGCCAAATATTTATCATAAAGTTTTTTTTTAATAAATTGCAATTTAAATCTTTAAATATAACAGATTGAAAAATATCAAATTTGTTTTGAATATAATTCACAATAGAATTTTTTTCTTTTAGTTTATTCCGTCATTATAATTGAATAATTTTTCTATGCGGTTGTAAGAACTAAAAATTTTCAGTAAATACAACCGAATTATAAGATAGTTGCTGTAACCTCCTATATTCGATTGGAAACAAATTCGGTTGTCACAACGAATCTGTTTTCTCTGTGTAGATATCCAAATGTATATGTTAGTATTGTTGATAGTATATAAAAATAATGATGATGAGTGCGATATACATATGTACATTAGAGTTATAATCATAATTATGCCCTATCACTGCGTGGTAGCCAGTTGTGTTGCAATAACGAAAACCATTTTCTCGAGTCATTTCATGGTGCAAAATCCTTCCCCAAATCGGTTTTCTAAAACCATTCACAAATAAATTTACAAAAATTCTTAATTGTATAATCTACATGTTTGGGTACTGAATTTGGAAGAGGAAAATTTTTAATCGATAGGGCCGATGTAAAATTTTCAAAAATTGTATAAAAGTTAAAACCCTAATGTACATACTTTTTTTTGCCTTCTGAAAATCAGTTATGTGTATTGGAAAAATATTAACCAGTAACAACTTTCGCTTTTTAATTTCGCTCTTCCAACTAAGAGAAAAAGTTTGCAAAAATTTTCCAACAAATGTAATATTAAATACAAATATAATAAAAAAAATTTATATGACAAAAGAAAAAACCCAGCAAAATATTAAGAAGTAAGAGTGTTATATTCGGCTGTGCCGAATCTTATATACTCACCATCAAATCATTGCTGAAAATTAATGCTTCCTTATAAATAAACATTGATATTTAAGAATCGATGCTTTTGTTATTATCAAAATAATTTTCTCATTTAATACATCTATGCATATATCGATACTAATATGAATATCAGGGTTATTTTTGGAAGAGGTCCTTTAATGAAGTTCTTCCGAATTCAGTTCATATTCGGGTTAGGGTCAATTATGGAAAGATCCTTACAATATTGAACAAACATATTAAGGTTCCTATTAAATATGTTTATGTCAAATTTCATCGCTATAGATGATTCTTTTAGACAGTTATGAGCGTTAAAGTCATTTTCTGAAAGGGCTTTATATGCGAGATAGGTTCAATTACGGATCGATCCTTATAAAATTTTACAAAGCGATTAAGGTTCCTATAAAATATTTCATATCTAATTTCATCGCTATAGATGCTTCTTTTAGAAAATTGTGGGCGTTAAACTCATTTTCTGAAGGGGATCTTATATGGGGGTTAGGGTCAATTATGGACTGATCCTTTTAAAAATTTTCAAAGCGATTTAGGTTCCTATAAGATATGTTCATGTCGAATTTCATGGCTATAGATGTTTATTTAAGAAAGTTGTGAGCGTTAAAGTCATTTTCTTAAGGGGACCTTATATGGGCGCTAGGGTCAATTATGGACCTATCCTTTTAAAATTTTACAAAGTTCCTATAAAATATGTTCATGTCGTATATCATCGTTATAGATGCTTCCTTTAGACAGTTATGAGCGTTAAAGTCATTTGCTGAAGGGGACCTTATATGGGTGGTAGGGTCAATTATAGAATATCAAATTTTACAAAGCGATTTAGGTTCTTATAACAAATGTTCTTGTCGAATTTTATCGCTATAGATGCATTTTTAGACAGTTATGAGCGTTAAAGTCATTTTCTGAAGGGGACCTTATATGGGGGCTAGGCGAAATCGTAGACTGACATTGCCCATTTTCAACACCAAACAAACTGCATCAATATAAAATATCTATGCAAAATTTCAGTCCACTAGCTACTTCTATTTGGACTCTAACGTGCTTTCAACAGACAGACAGACGGACGGACATGGCTAGATCGTCTTAGAATTTAATAAGGATCCAGAATATATATACATACTTTTAATGGTCTTAGATGAATATTTCGATGTGTTACAAACGGAATGGGTATAAAAAGAATATATTTCCATGACATGTAAATTAAAAAAATAAATAATTTATTAAACTTTCCAACAATCTTGCTGGGTGATAGGTACAAAAAAATAAATATCTACATACATTGCATTATTATTATCAACATCATCATCATTATTGATTCAATCAATCCTTAAGCAAATGTTGATGTCGATAAATAATCTAGTATCAAACATTATTTTAACTAAAATTCAATTTGATAGCAAATACTAAATGAAAACAGCAACTACAACATCAGTAATAATGACGACAACAAAAGAAAATTGCATTTATTTTTTATATTTGTTTGTTCTATTTTCAGAAAACTGCAATTGTCGTAAGTACGCGATTCTACGACAAACAAAATTTCATGATTTCTATGCAAATTTCTCGCTTTTAATGTTGGCATTAAGTTCTTTTTCCCAGTCTCCTCGCTGCTGTTTAGAGAATTTTCCATAAGAGTAAGTACTATATCTATTGTTGGAAAATTTTTATTGCAAATGTTGTGAAATATTTTTATATTTGTTTAACAATAGTTGTTTTCCTATTTTTAGGTATTTGTTTTCTTCTGTTTTTTTTTTTTATTTTTTAATTTATTGAACAATAAATAAAGAGTGCAATAATAAAAGTATAAGTTGCAATTACATCGTGTCATGGTCATATGATTTTGAAAAATTTTATATTTGCGCACATTATTAAAATGTTTTAAGACAACAGTGAAACAACAAATTTAAAGAGCAAATACTTAGTAGCTTAAAGAAATGTACATTAACTGCTTCAGTATAATCGAAAATACACAAATAAATGATTACATTTGAAATCATATTATAGGCACAACCACAAAAAATAATTTCTTTATTTTAATATTTTACACATTCAATAGTTTTTTTACAAAAATAAAATTTGAAAAAAGTACATATTTTATATAATACGGTGGATGTAGAAATTCTAAAAGTACTTACATACATGTATGTATGTATTGATTTTCTGAAAAATATTACAACATAAAAAATTTCGGCCATATCCATATTCCACCACGGTTTATCAGAAAACAAGGAAAGTAAACAATTTAATTTTAATAATAGTTTCCTTTTTGAAAGAAAATTAAAAAAATACTACACAAATACTAAATCCTAACTGTTTAAACCCCAAAAGCGGAAAAAGGAAACGGAAACTGAAATGGCCTAACGGTCTTTGCAATTTCCACCAGAAAACAAAAAAACAATACAAAAATAAAAACAATTTTAAAACGTGTTCTAGCATGTTTAATGGGATTTTATAGCTAAAAATTCAAAACAAATAAATTGCAATAATAAAACGAAGAAAAACATAAAATTTTAACAAAAAAAAAAAAAAAAAAAAAAACTAAATGTAAAAAATATTAAAATAATCACAAAACACATATCAATAACGTAAAAAAACAATAGAAAACAACAAAATGTTACTTTTTATACCCATAGAACGAAAACTAAAATCATTTATAGTCATGGCTATTAAAAATCAAACAAGATTCGCAAAATATATAAGAAAAAAGTATATAAATATAAAAGTCATTATCGCATACCAAGAAAAATATTTATTCATACATATGTACTTACAATAGGGTGTCCCCAGACAAGGTATTTTGTATTATCATCTCTCAAACGATGCGTATTACTGCCCGTAATACGCAAAAAGAAAAGTAAAATTTTTGTTCTTAGTTCTCTACCAGCGACTGAAAATTCTGATCTCTGTATAATCAGATTCCCAAAAAACATTTTCTCGGGAGACTCTAATATTCATATGTACATATGTATAAAGAAAAAACACATATCTAAAACACTACAGCAGGTCTTAATGAAACGCCACTTTGTTTACAGAAAACACATAGACTTCAACGAGATTTAAGCCAGAAGTGTGCTAGAACTGAACTAGAACTGTACTAGAACTGAACTAGAACTGAACTAGAACTGAACTAGAACTGAACTAGAACTGAACTAGAACTGAACTAGAACTGAACTAGAACTGAACTAGAACTGAACTGAACTGAACTAGAACTGAACTAGAACTGAACTAGAACTGAACTAGAACTGAACTAGAACTGAACTAGAACTGAACTAGAACTGAACTAGAACTGAACAAGAACTGAACTAGAACTGAACTAGAACTGAACTAGAACTGAACTAGAACTGAACTAGAACTGAACTAGAACTGAACTAGAACTGAACTAGAACTGAACTAGAACTGAACTAGAACTGAACTAGAACTGAACTAGAACTGAACTAGAACTGAACTAGAACTGAACTAGAACTGAACTAGAACTGAACTAGAACTGAACTAGAACTGAACTAGAACTGAACTAGAACTGAACTAGAACTGAACTAGAACTGAACTAGAACTGAACTAGAACTGAACTAGAACTGAACTAGAACTGAACTAGAACTGAACTAGAACTGAACTAGAACTGAACTAGAACTGAACTAGAACTGAACTAGAACTGAACTAGAACTGAACTAGAACTGAACTAGAACTGAACTAGAACTGAACTAGAACTGAACTAGAACTGAACTAGAACTGAACTAGAACTGAACTAGAACTGAACTAGAACTGAACTAGAACTGAACTAGAACTGAACTAGAACTGAACTAGAACTGAACTAGAACTGAACTAGAACTGAACTAGAACTGAACTAGAACTGAACTAGAACTGAACTAGAACTGAACTAGAACTGAACTAGAACTGAACTAGAACTGAACTATACATGCTCATTAAATCAGAAGTTTTTATAAGATTAAGGAAAACCTTAATGTTTTACATTATTTTTGAAATTAGTCTGAATGTAAATAAAATAAAAATCAACCAATAAACAAATGAAGTCATAAAATATAATAAACATAAAAATCACTGTAAAACAAACACAAAATTACGTTCAAAAATGGGAAATTGATGTTAATGATGTTGACCAATACCAAAAAAGAAATAAACTCACATCTTATACAAAGAACAACAAAAGCAATAATAAAAAATTTAAAAACCTACATAAGTCTAGAAAAATCTAAAAAAATTATCGAATTTTTACGATACCAACGAAAGATGTTGAATAAAAAAATCGAGGTTTAAAAGAGTTAGGACAGGAGAAAATATAAATTTAAAGTTATAGATTTATGGTATTTATACTTTTATATAAACCGATAAAAACTGTAATAAAATAAAAAAAATGTATGCATTTGGAAATGTTGAACAAAAAATACTTTGAACTTCGTCCCATTAAAATGTTTGTACATTGTTGTTGTACATATTTTATCTAAAGTCCAGTTAATATAGTTAGTATTTATATATTTTTTTGAATTAACCTTTTATTGATTTTAGAAATTTATCCTTTGGCTATCGAAATTCGTATATCCAAACACAGACAAGCATAGACTTATGTAAACTAATCATCTTTTATGTTTTAGTCTTTTGAAATTGTGGTTGTAGATATTTTCCTAAGAAAACTAATCCTTTATTTCTTTTGTTGATTCACAATATGACGTTGTTTTTGTATGCGATTGGTTTTGTCAGTCCCGTACATTAACCCTTATTTGTAACCACTGAAATTTAGAAACGAAAACAAATGCTTACTTAATGTGAATATTTTATTATAAATAAAATATACAATACAATAGTGTAAAAACTATAATAGAACTAGAACTAAAATAAAACAAGAGCTATGAAGAGAATAATAACCCAGCAGTTCGGCGGGACGGACAGAATTAGTTGCTTAACCTACCAGTTAGATGTATGCCTGATCGGTAGATTACCCAGAAGACTAGGAATTTTAACATGTGATTGTCCTAGGAGGATTTCAATCGACACGCCATAGATTACGAAGAGACAATCAGAAAGCTTGTCCAAAGGAGGCAATGAATGGCAAAGAGCCTTTTCGGTTAGGTTTTTTTTTTTATAAGTGTCTACTCTATTGATTACTTAAGGACAGTAAAGTGAAGACTGTCACCATTCCGCTTACACAGGGGACAGTCTTTACTTCTGTTAACAAAGAGTATATTCGTGACGAAAGAAGAATTGCAGCCAACCAGGTGTTGAGACGTTAGCAAAAATAACTGTATTTTTCAAATGCATTGACTCTCCTTTGAACTGCTGGGAAGAGTCGATTGCTTTTTTTTAGATGTAAGTATATGTTGTTAATTATATATATAAGTTGAATTAAAGAAACAAATAGACATATTTATGTAGTCACCAAGAGGATTGCTATTCCACCTGATAATAATGTTGTTTAATATTCAAATTAAAATCACATTTGAAATTCTGTATCCCAAAAAAATTTCCTTCCTGGAATTTGATATAATATAAACTATTTTACAAATTTTTTGTTAACATTTTTCATAAAATTAGGATTATTTTTTTGTTTATACAAAACAAAATCCTCTATTTATGTTTTATGTTTTCCACGGAACCAACACCCCACTGATAGCAACGCAATCCCTCTTCCCCCATTTATATTATAATACTTGCGTCAGCCACGTTCAAATAAAATAAAATTGTAAAAAAACTCCATTTTCTTTGTTGCCGACGCTGTTTGCTAAGGGTTACAATAGGTCTTTGAATCTGTATTGTTTGTTAACAAATTTATCCATAATCTGTGACAATTTGGTAACTTATGCTTCATCATTTTAGGTTAATATGTATTTGATTACAATACTTTGAAAAGGAAAAAATAACAACAACACCAATGTTATACACAAGTTTATAAATCAATATCGATATAGGAGCAGAAAATACAAAAAATAAGAGGATTTACAAATACAAAATATAAAATAAAAGAATTACCATACTAAAATAATGGTTAAAATGCAAAAAAAAATTGCTACGACAACATTGATAAAAATATACTTACAAATGTATGCATGAACACGTCTATATGTGAATTTCCAAAGACTTTGATGGCTAATGAAAATGTCTGTAAGAGAATGTAGAATGTAAATAAGTGTGTGTATTCTTTTCATAATTTCTAAGTATTTTATAGAAAAGGGTAGATATATTAAAAAAAATAAGCAGAGATTATTTGATTGAATAAATTCCATGAGATTTGTTTGCTTGTCACATATATTTTTAAGCACTACATGTTTTATATTAAATTTCAAATCGAATACAAGTAGATACCTTTTTTTCATCTATTAGATACATGTAATTTAATTAAAGTTGTCAATATACAAATTCACCCACATATGGGTACATACATACATACTTAATAAATAGCTTAATATAAACTAGTCAGAGTGAGTTATTATATGGCCAAATATATACACAACTATTAAGTAGATGGGTAATATCCAAAAACTGGACCAATTACATATTTAAATATTAAGAATTTCAATAGATTTAATAGTTTGATTTAGAGATGTTTAAGAATTATGAAGATTTGTTTGAATTTTAAAATTAAATTTTTCGAAATTTAATAGCACTTTTTATAACCACTATCAAA